CCCAGATCCCCGAAAGGACAAAAATGAAACAAAATTGACAACTATTTTCAGAGTTCTCAGCTACCAGATGGAAATGCAGGACTCTTTTGCTTGCCTTTTTTTTTTTTTTTTGTTAACCCTGTGTAATTGCTACCTGGTAGGAGGGTTTTGCATGTTTGTAGTAGGCTTTTTTATTATTTGGCCTCAGGGTGGATTTTTAGCAGAATTTATTCTCGATAGGAGCTCCTTAATCTATCATCCACCTTTCATCAAATGTTCCCTGCATGCAGAAGTACATGATGCAGTAAAAATTCATCCCTTGGGGCCCCCATCTACCACACCACGCGTAGGAAAGTGATGCAATGGTCAAGGGGTCTACGTAATCCTTGAGCCCCAGGTGGACATCAAGAGCAATTGGCTGGCAGGACCATGCCGGTGCCCCAAGCCAACCAGACACTCCTATCGATGCAAATTATGAGGCTCAAATACAATACAACTTACCCTGTCCAGAGTAACAAGTTGCTTGTTATTTGTGCTGAGCGAGACTGGCCGTGCTGATACCAAGCATACTGCAGAATCCTAGGTTTGGGAAGATCTTGGTCACCACCCCACAGCAGGGGTGACATAATCCTGTGACCTGTATGGTCCTGGCCTACACGCCGAGTTTTTCCTGCCTACTGTTCCACAGCTCTCAAATTCTACATTTTAGGCTACGTAATTGGTAATTGGAAGGTGGGGTTTTAGCTTGTAATAGGGCTGAATAAGGTGTAAACTAGCCAGCAATGCTGCAGTGATAGTATGATGACTCTGTGGATACCAGGTTCTGAAGTGCCTGCCCTCGCCAAGCCCTGTGCTGCTTTCTAATAGGTCTTACTTTAACCTAGATCAACACCTAAAACAAAGGCATGGAAGACTTGTTTTCCTCACCCTTTTCATATTCAGCATATCCATTCCTTTTCTCTGCTTTAATCCACTGCTGTGGACAAGAGAACCAGCAATAAACTGAGATGTAAATAGTGGAGAAAGGAAAAAATATAGTGGAAAAAGGAAAGAATATCTATTTGCCAGATTGATTAAAGCTCTTCTGTGACGTTGCTCATTTGCCTATTTTCACCTGTGTAACTCAAACTCTTCAAGCCAAAATGTTCCCCTTACTAACATCCTAGGAATCAGCACACTCATCTGCACTAGAAAAATAGGGCTAGTACCTCACTCACTGAAGTTAGTTGGAGGGAAATGGTGCAGGGATCCCTTCACATTGTTCTTGAGCCACACAGGAGAAAATTATGGTGGTAAAGCAATGATAGGTTTTATCGTGGTTTTGTTGTGTCAGAGGTTTTTCCACTTAAGTCACATTTTGAATTTCTCCATAATCTAACATCATTCTGCTGTATGGTATGTCTTAAATCCGTGCTGCTAAAAATGAGATAGACAATTCTCCAGTGGCATGGGGTTGTGGTGGGCTGTTTTTTTTTTTTTTTTTTTTTGCCAGTTTAAGCCAAACAGCGGTGGAGAGAATCCAGCTCCCGATTTCCTGTTTCCGCAGCCCCCAGGGTTCCCCCAAGCTCCGGGTCAGCTCCGCGCCCAGGAGGGCGCAGGCTCCGCAGGTGCGGGCGCCTTTGAACCCCCCCGCCTCCTTCCTGCAAACGAGTTTCCGAGCTGAAATTCACTTGGAAAAAAAAGAAAGTGGCCATTTGCTTCGATTATTTTCTAACGACTCCGCTCGCCTCTGCCTTTGGTCTTGCTGGTAACCCGATGGGTAATTTTGGAGCTATCTGCGTGCATAAGCTTGTTTTGAACGCGCATAGGTCTGCGAGCTCAGGTACTTAAAAACCTCTTAGCCGCGATTAACAAGTGAATGGGGACCCCTGAGCACCCCGACGTGTGATCACAGGCGACACAGTGACTTCAAAGCCCGCCCTTCAATCGCGGCAGATCGCCCGGCATTGCGGGCTGCC